TTTTATGAGACAACATTATATTTATTATCCAAAGTTATCCCACCTAAGACCTCTTCCAGCATCGCTCAAGTTCTTTTCCAAGTGTTATCTGGTGCGTGAAGCACGTATTCACCCTGACGGTACGGTGTGCTGTTCATTTACACTTTCTACTATCCAACACCAGTAGAAGAGTATGAGAGAGAGAGAGAATACTATAACGATGGCATACCTACTACCACCAGTAGTGTACTTTGCACACTCTCCGGTTATGCCGGCTACTAATTGCGAGCTTACTTTTCACCTTGCACGCTTTCTCTACATACAAGGAAACCAACCAACATGTTTCACTTCCTCTCTCTCTCTCTTTCTCTCTATCTCTGTAGAACAAGTGCTTTTCAATTCCAAAGTTTCACGAGAAAATCATAGGACGTGTAAGTATACACGTACTATGTTATACATCATAGTCCTCCTTGTTTCATACCACCTTAAACTACTACTACGTTTATAGTCCTTCGTTGTATGTTTAATAGAACAAGAATTGGTGTCAGTTTGTCTAAGGATTTAACACTTTTTTTTTCTTATATTATTTCTCATATTTTTGTCGATAGTTATGTATTTTTATTTAATTTACTTTATATTATTAATAACTTTATTTTTGAAACACTAAAATGTATGATATTAACTCTTTGGCAACATTTGACTTATTAGTACGTCATGCATTTCTTTGGGTAAAGACGCACATGACGTTCTGATACGTCATTGAAACTGAGACGAGATTTAACTCAATTTATTCTGGTTTATTTCAAAGTAATGCGTAATTATATACTTAATATTAATTTCAATTATTATAATATTTCAAAGTAATTTTCAAATAAATGTGTATCCAAAGGGTTAATGTAATAATGTATAATATAAAAAGGTTGTTGAATTGTATAAATTGTTTTATTACTGAAATATATATTATTATAATATATAAATATATATATTATAATAATAATAATTTCTAAATCATAATATAATTGATACTTTGAACTTTGATATTATTTCATAAAATATTAAAATAGGAATTGAATTTGTATAAAATAGAATTTATATAAAGTAACATTTTTCTACTTTTATTTCTAATAAAATTTTGTCGATAAACTACTCATTCAATGTGGATTGATATTTTTTTATAGATATTTTATTGTCATAACATTAATTTACTATAAATAAAAAAAATAAATTTTTTGGCTTACGGTCTCAAGAGACCAAACCTCGCAACCGGCTACGCTCAGCGTATAATTGCCTAAGTTACGTTTCTTGATCGAAAGATCTTCAGGGTAGGGTGATCAATCCTACGCCGTTCCAAAGATCATCGTGGCAATTTGCGAGGCAGGCCTTACCGGTAAAAACACGGGGCGCAAACGCTCTTAAAAAGCCACGACGGAGCAGGCATGCTTTCTCGTTCGATGTCGGAGAGCGGGACTCGAGAACCCGCGACTCCGGGTGGGAGTCGAGCGCTCTGCCGACTGAGCTATGCCGTGCTCAAATTTACTATAGATACGTGTATAAATTCGTTGTGTCGATATTATATAAATTTCTAACATATATCTTGATTAAAATTAGTCTCATAGATATGGTGTCACGATAAATGTTAATTCACTTGTGAAATGTTAAATATTATAAATAGATAATAGAGACACGTGTAATATGTTTCCGAGTATTTGCCGACAGGATCGATAAGGAAGAAGTAGGGGGTGGGGGGGAGGGTTAGAAAATAGAATACCAAATGTCTCCACGATCGTAGAAACGATCAAAGTTCATTCTAAAGATAATTCACAATTGATTATTCACGATTCTTGAATTTTATGACACTTTCCTGGGATATTTTAGAATCGATCGATAATAATAATTAATATTATTATTATTATTATTATTATTATTATTACTATTATTTTTATTATTTTATTATTTAGGATAGGTATATAGAGTATATTGTAACGATATGTTCTCTTTCTTTCTTTTTGTTATTTTGTTATTTTTCTTTTTTTTTTATTCGACGATCCCAAAGTGTTTCACTAATTTGAAAGCTCTTCTCTTTCTCACCGAATACAAAAGTCGATCGTTCTTTTTATTTTCTCTCTCTCTCTCTCTCTATTTTTTTTTCGTCGAGGCTATCCAGGATTCAAAGAAAAGGTCTCTTTTCGAGACGAACTTTCGCGTTCTTCACCTCTCCTTTTGTGCATTTTTCATTTCGCTTTACAATTTCTCCAGCGAATAAATTTCCCGTGTAAAGTACTTGCGTACAATGACATTCGTTCTCTCTCTCTATCTCTCTCTCTCTCTCTCTCTCTCTCTTTCTCTCTTTTGTAACTGACTTTAATCGAATCCGATTAAATTTTATTCCATTTAACCTCGATAATGATAACGATTATTAATTGGCCCAAGTTATGTAGAAAAGCTATCAAACCCTCCGATGATCTTTAATTGAGGAAATTTCGTTTCAACATTTTTATTATTACTTTTTTTTTCTCTTTTTTTTTTTTTTTGAAGGACAAATTTTTTATTTGTTACGTTTATTTATTCTTTTTTTTCTTTTTATATTGTTTTGCAATATTTTTGAAATAAATTTGTATAATAATTAGTGATACCATCAATGATTATACAATTAATAAATAATAAACCTAAGATAAAAATTAAAAAGTTGTTGATTGCTTTGATTATCATTTCTTTTTTTGCAAAATAAAAATCAAAGTTAAATCTACAAAATTTAATAATATTTTTATAATAATTTTATTTTTTATTATTTCGATAATTAATAAATTCCTGAACAATATAGTTTCATCGAAAAGAATTTAAATTATTTTTGTTTTGGAAATAAAATGAAAATTCAATTGTATAATTAACACATTAAAGGCGGGAGTCGTAGTACTACGATTTATCTCGACTGTAACTTAAAGGCGGGAGTCGTTAGTGTTTAGTTCTTTTTTAATATTTCTTGTAGTTTTAAGAGTTTAAATAAATTTTTTTAAGTCTAAATTTTTTTATGATTACACAAAATATCGCCCGCTCTAGGACGAAAAACAAGGCGGGGCGGTCGCCGCGTTACCTAGCATACTTTCGTCAAGATCCCCCGCCTTTAATGTGTTAATTAATTATTATAATTTAGTGAATTATTTTATAAATATATTATTGATACTTACCCCTATGAAGAACTTTGCTAAATACGCTCGTGATAATTCGTAATTCCGGATTCAAGGTTTCACCTAACTGTAACAGAAAACAAGTTTCCCTTTTTATTATTTTCATTCTCAATGTTTTACCTTCTCTTATTGTTAGATATATAGTTATATATATATAGATAACTTTAGGGAAAGAAAAGGGGGGTAAAGTAAAGAGGTAAGGGCGGAAGATCGTTTGGAAAGTTTCATCGTAGGATACCATTAAAAGGGTATCCGTAAAAGCTATCCAAAACAAACCTCAAGTCGGAAGTGACGATAAATAAGAAGATTTATGTCTTTTGCGAATCGTTTCGTAATAAAGTAACACAAACCAAAAAAATTATACTCAACTTTGTTGGATCGTAGGAAACGAAAAAGTTTTTTTTTCTTTTCTTTTTTATTTATTCGAAGCATTAATTTACTCGAACGTAAATCATTAAAAAGTCTGACAAAATTTTTAAATACATTTGTAAAGGATGGGACGAATTAACGAATGTTTCAAAAAATCCTTTTGAAAAATTCCTTAAAATTTTGTTTGTTTATTGATGTTAACGTCTGGGCCAAAAAATTTATGCAACATAATTTTCAATGGTCATTCACTGTTTTTCTTTAAAAAAAGGTAAAGAAAAAATGTTTTTGTAACAAAATTTTGATGAATTATGAAAGATTCATTCATTTTAAAATATCAAATAAATCAAATTCAAAAGTTTAATAAAAAATATTTATGGAATACACTTTTACATATTTTTTATGGTTTGAAGGGAGGGAGGAGAATACAAAAGAAAAATTGTAGAAGAAAAAAAAAGTGTATGGTTCAGAAAACAAAAATTTTCTATCGTACAGACGATTCACGTTGTTTAAAAAACAATTATTGGAATCAGGGTGGTGGGAAAGCAACGGAGAGTGGTCCGATCCATTGGAAATAGTTTCCCCTCTCCCCCTACTATACCATTTCGATTCAGTTAAATTGTCAAACTATTCAAAACAATTGAATTTGGTACGAATCGTGTCGAACTATTTTCTATTCTATGTTTAAACGTATACACATATCTGTGTATTCTATAGAATAATACAAACGATTAATCGAAATTTATTGAAAAAACCCCTTCGAATTTTTTTTTATAATTCTTTATTTTATATCAATCTCTGTGCTTTCGATTGAAATATTATTTTTTTTTTTTTAATGAAAAATCATTTTACAAACTCTCGTAAAATTATGACATATTTAAAAGATTAAAAATATGAAGGATAGAAAGAAAAAAAAAATAAATAAGGTTAAATCACGTTCGACAAATTAGAAGCCTAGACGATGATCTTGAATTTTATTTACAACAATTTTATTTACACATTCTTTGGCTTTTCTTTTTCTTTTTTTTTTCTCCACCCTAACCCCTTTTTTCCTTTTCTTATTTCGTTTTACAAGTCAACTCGTTTTTGCGTCTGATGTGAGGAGTTGCTTTGAAATTCCAGCGGCGTTCAACGCGTGCCAGGCTGCACGTTCTCGTAATATAGTCGTTTATCTTTTCGGAAAATTTACAGAAAGAGGGGTTAGGAGGAGGAGGAGAAGAAGAAGAAGAAGAAGAAGAAGAAGAAGAAGAAGAAGGAGAGATAGAGAGAAAGAGAAGGAAAAACAGCAAGCAAGCAGTCTCTCTTGGCACAACTGCGAAGTTTTCCTTTCTACACGCGACATCTCTCTCTTTCTCTCTTACAGACACACACACAAAGACACACGTACGCTCATTTACTAATACTAACATGCATACACGAGGTACCGCACTTTTATGCGTGTCAGCATAAATCCGTTGGCTAGGGCTTGCGCGTATTCTCACGATTAAACTTGTAGTAACTTATGATTCTCATATTTCTATTCGTTTAACATAAACATTGTTAGTAAGTATTTAAACTCATTTCGGTATAACAAATTGCGATAATAATTCTTTTTTTTTCTCTTTCTTTTGCATTTTTTTTTAAATCAAATTGTCTATCTTATAATAAACATATTTATTTTTAATAATTTAATACAAAAAGAACAAAAAAGAACATAATATTCGAGATAAATTAAGATCGCGTATAAAAACTAGCCACCATAAATTATGTTGCATAATTAACAGTGTGTAAAAATGAGAGAGACTCTGTTACAAAAAAAGTGTTGTGTAAATTTGATGAAAGTTGGGTGCGCATATTACATTTTTATTTATTATTAATTTAATACAATTTATTTGTTGAATTATTTTTTTCCTCTTTCAAGACACAAGAGAAGGGTGGTTAAAATTCATTGCAAACGAGATCGAATAATAGATTTTTCTATTATTTTTATATTCTATCTTTCTCGTTAAAAGAGAGTAACATTAACGTTGGATCTTATCGGCCGATATTAATGCGTTTTCCAGAATATTCAAGAAGAACCAGAAGAAAAGGAAGTAAGAAAGAGAGAGAAGGGGCGGTGGGGAGAGAATGAGATAGATAGAGATTATTTCTCAGTGAAATTAATCATAATGAAAAATATCTAACGGCCGGCAGGAAATGAAGACGACGCTAATTCCATCATCTTAACCTACAGTTTAATTCAGGCTGCTTCTGGGAGCCTACCCTGATTATGAATTAAGAGGGTTAATTGCAACGGTGGTGGTCGTACCTAAAGCAAGCAACCAAGCAAGCAACCAAGCAAGCGAGCGAGCAAGCAAGCAAGCAAGGGTTCATATAGAAGCAACCTTATATAATATATAATATACATAATATGTATATATATATTCCCACCTTCATCTTTCCCCTTCTCCTTCATAGTAATTGTAGAGAAAGAGAATATGTATAGGTAATCTCTATCGTTGCTATATATTTTAGCTATTTAACCTGAAAAATATGAACTTCCTCTTTCGCTGACACTTCTCATCCTATTCCCAAATTAAATCCTTTCGTTTAAATTATTCTCAGCAACGTGATATTACGTAAAACTTATATAGAGAAAACCTCATCGGATGGTAACCAACTGCAACAACGGATCTAACGATGAATGAACAACTTTGCGATGGTTTGAGAAAAGTTCGTAGGTAAAAATTTGGTTCAAACAAAAAAAAAAAAACAAAAAAGGAAAAGTAAAAAGAAAGAGACAAAAAAAAGAGAACTGTTGTATTATATCGGAAACATACAAAACATTTAATTAAAAAACAGAGAGAAAAAGATAGATGATGACTGGTGGTATGTATATTCCTAAACTAACCTCTCTATGTATATTTAGTTTTTGCACGGTGACCGGAATAAAAAAAAAAACAAAAGAAGAAGAGAGAACAAAAAATGAAGTCTCAACGGAAGGCAAGTAAGTATATGAATACACACACATACGTGTAAAGGGGTTAAAAAAAAGGTTGGCTCGTTGCGAACAGGTGAAAATATTTTTCTCTTTTTCTTTCTAGTTAACCTACTCTCTTACTATACCCTTTACCTTTCCATTGTATATAGGTAGGAAAAAAAGTTTGGTGCTGCGAACAGGTAAAAATATATATTTATGTAGTTTCTTTTGTTCCCTTTCTAGGTACCAATTCAGTTTACCACCCTTACATATTTATATACATATACATATACATATACATATATATATATATATATATATATATATATATATATATATATATATATATATANTATATATATATATATATATAGGTAGGAAAAAAAAGTTTGCTGTTGCTAACAGGTGAAAATATTTTTCTCTTTCTCTTTTGCCATTCTATATATCCACACTCGCTAACCACCCTTGTGCATTCACACAAAAATATACATATAAATACGTATACATACACAAAGGTTCGGCCACGGAAGAAGGGAACGGCGTTTTCATCGTAGCCTGCTCGTTTATATCTCAACCCCTCCGGCGCTCCAGGGTATAATCCGTTTGAATTACAGTCGTCAACCTTAACCCCCTCTCCTTGCCCTCCCCCTTCTCACCCTTTTCCCTTCTTTCTCTTTCACTCAGTCATTCTCGCGTGCGCGCGCGACCTGTGTACCCTTTCAACGCACACCTTTACGATCAACTCTCGGTTAAAAAAGAGAGACAAACAGAAAGAGAGAGAAAGAGAGAGAAAGGTGAAGTGAAAGGTTGGTGGAAGGGTTTGGAAGAGGGGGTTGGACAACGACAGGGAAAGAGATCGAGTACTTTCCGGCGTTGAGACTCGAGAAAAGAGAAAGGGATGAGGAGGAGGAGGAGGAGGAGGAGAAAGAGGATTGGCTTAAACCGTCTGGGAGCTTGCTTGAAACTTCTCCATCGAGTTATCGCCGCTAACTTTCCTATCTGATTCTCGATATGACATATGGAGAAAAATATTAAACAGTCATTATGTAGATGGATAACTAACTCCATTGTCCTTTTCATACGGGTAACTCTGATAACTCCTATTATATTTAACCCCTCCACCTCCCTCCTCCCATTTACCTGTTTTCCATTTTTCCTCGTATTTTCTCTATACGATTAGTATTTATAATCAAATACGCCTCATCATCTCTCATTCGATTAATTTACACGCAACGGATATTATATTATATACTTCTTTTAACAATTTACTAATTATAAGAAATTGATAGTAAAAAAGAAAAATAGTAAGTTCTTATTTTCCAACGATACAAGATATATTTTAATTGCTTTTCTTTTTCTTTCGATTCAAATGGGTCATTATATTTTAAGACGAATTAATTAACACGGTCAGAGTTAAGTATTGATATTTTATTAGTAAAATATTGATTATTAATTCGATATAATAAATTCATTACACACACACACACTCACATTAATTTCAGTAAAATAAAAAATATATAGAACTAATAAAATAAAAGATCGTAATAATAATAATAATAATAATAATAATAATAATAATAATAATAATAATAATAATAATAATAATAATATTAATAATAATATTAATGATCAAGTGTCCGTTCAAATTTGATATAACAAATGTTTTAAAGTTTATGCGTGAACGTAAATGCGCTTGTGCATGATTTATTTGTAGAACAACCCGTTCCCCTTCCCCTCCTCTCGAAAATTCGTATCCTCGTAACGTATGTACGCAAAAGGTATTTAATATGACATGCGCGTGTTAATCTACTTGGCGTTTGTACTGATATTGACAGAGATTGCAATAACGCGATACAGGTGATACTGGTAGCCGATATGGATCCGTACCACGGTTGCAACCGCCAGCACACATAAACATACACATACAGACAGATATACACACACACACACACACACACATACATAGTCATCTAGATGATAGAGATAGAGAAACGTTTATATACGTGTATGCGTATAGTGAATGAGATAGAGAGAAACAGATAGAGAGGGAGAGAGAGAGAGACAGACAGAGTAAGGGGATGAGGGAAAGAGGGGATGGAAGGCAGACCGAGCGTCAATTTGCTGACGTTTACATCTGTTATATCAACATGCTTCTTGCTATTAATGAACCACTTGCCTTCTGTTTCTCATTCGTATTAGATATTCGTGTTTTAACCGATTGATAATCGTTTATTTTCAATCCAAGCAGATGTCGGAGTCATAATTCCTAACACGCGTACTATTATACACCACTTTTATCTCTCTTTCTCTTTCGTATTTTTTTTCTTTTTTTTTTTTTTGGTACACTTTGAAAGTGGAAGAATGTGAGTGAGTGAATGAACGAGAATGAGGTAGAAAAGGATAGAGAACTCGGACAGAAGCAAGGCGTTCATTAAGAGCCGTTTCGTGTAATCGATTCGAGCCGTTGCTTTCGAAAAGGGCACGAAGGAGCCGCACGCGAGAATAGTGGAAGAGAGAAAGTAGAGAGAAAGGTGGGAGGTGAGTGGAGAGAAAGGTTGGAGGAAGGGATAAAGAGGAAAAAAGAAGAACCTTCCCTCTGGGTACTTGAGGAACGACTGTCATCGTGAATACGAGAAAGAAGAGCTTTTTTCCTCCCCCTTCCATTACTTGTGGTCACAGGTCGTTCGATCTTTTCTACATTTCTCTCTTTCTCTCTCTTTCTTTCTTTGTGATCTTATTTTCAAACTTTTCTCTTCTATTTTTTTTTCTTTTTCTTATTCTTTCTTATCTTGATCGTGTAAAAGTAGTTCTTTTTTGCTACGATAAGATTTTCATTTAAATTTATAGTATAAAATAAAATATAATTTCTTTGTTTTGTTTGTATCGATTCTTTAGATATTTTTTAGTTCATCTTCGTGCTTGCAAACAACTTTTATTCTACTTAAAAATAAAGAATAGTTTGAGATCGAAATTTGTATATAGATCTTTTTTGGATATATATATATATATTTTTTTTTTATTTTATTTAGTTTTCTGTAATTGTCAATTTGTATTTGGTACATTTGTTTGTTTTCTTTTCTTTTATCGAAAGAATTCGTTCACATTTTTTTTGTTAATCTGATTTTAATATAAATTGTTTAAATATATATAAAAATTAAATATATATAAATAATGTTTAATTGAACTGGCCTATCAATTCTTATTTACACAATTTTTTTTTTTTTTAAGTATTTTCTAAATTTTAATTTTCCTATTTGAACTACGTTATATCGATTTGTATTTTTCAATTTTTTTTTTCTGCTAAAAGAATTTGTTCTCTGTTTTCTTTTTTTTTCTTTTCTTTGTTTTTTGTTTGAAAATCTAGCTGATAAACAATCTCGTATTGATTGTCAAATCCTAGGATCGGTTCTGGTTGAATTACGGAATTCCCAATGGACCGATTCATCTTTCTCGGAAAGGAGCCGTTCCTGTGGCTCGAAAGACAATCCTTACGTGATACTTACTCCCTTTTTCTCCCTCTTGGCAACTATACTTTTATAGGAAAACCTTCAATAAAGGATTTCGACTATCACTGATTTCAAGATTTATCGATTACAAAAAATAATCTCAGAATCCTACAAGGATATTAATTTTCAATTAAAAAATAATTCCTTTCAATTCTTTACTTTTTTATAATTTCAAAATTAATTGATTTGAACAAAATCTTTGAGTTATTAAAATATCCATTGGTATAAATTTTAATCTTAAAACTCAAATCATCACACACTACCAGTCAAAATGATTTGACCATCTTATAAAATGATACAAAAAAATCAATTATTTATTCATGACATTAAGAAATACGTGTCATCCGTTAATAAAAATATTCCAAAATAATTATAACATTTAAATAATTATGAAATAATTTTAACTATTAATTTACGTAAAAGAAGTAAAGGTAAATTCAATTATTCATTAATTTAGAACAATGCATTTCTTTCTCATTCAAAAACAACAAAGCATACAACACAATATTGTCTGACAACGAATAATAACAATAATAATAATATGCATAATATAAATATAAAAGAAGGTAAAAAGGATAGAGATAGAGAAAGAAAGATAGAGAGAGGGAAAGAGAAAGAGAGAGAGAAGAAATGTTGGAAGGCTTACCTGAACCATTAGCGAAATTGCGACTAATCCTTGACTCTTGTGTTGTGCTTCGCTGATGTTGTGATAGAGCTCGGCGTTAAATCCGTACACCTGTATCTGAAATACGAGATCAAGAGAGGAAAATTACTTCCTTGTTTGATAACGAGTAATGTTGGTAGGTTATTATAAATTTTCTATCGAGCTGTCCTCTCGAATTTCCTATTTCTACCATCGAACAAAGGCTCGAATTCGACAGGACTCTGCATAAGCAACATGTTCTACACACCTTTATGTTCTTTGTTTGCAGTTTCGTTATCCAAACGAACGTTTACCTCCTATCTACAATATATATATATATATATATATATATATATATATACATAATATGTATATATGTATATATAAGCGAGTTGGCTTAATAACACATAACGAGGATAATTGTCAACATTCGATTGCTAATCGAAATTGCTATTGTTCGTAGAAATAATCTTCACTGTTAGGTAACATTGCTGAAATCATTACTATTACCTTTCTATTTATATTTGATCAACATTTTTTAACATTCTGTTGTTTGAAGAGATTTCTTAATTAACGATTCGTATGCACGAATATTTTTTATTTTTATTGTTTGTAATATAAATAATAATTTTTTTTCTAGGATATATAAAAATTGTGGTTATTGTTGTTATATCAAATTGTGTCATATTGATATTGAGTATACAATATTTTATTATTTCTATTTATAATATTGATATATACTAGTTACATCAGGATTACGTATTGATATTAGGTATATTAATATTAACTTTTTATTCTAAATAATATCTGTTTATATAAACGGATTGTGTCAGAATCGAGTGGGATTATTTGATTATGTGTGTGTGTATATCTTTTATTATAAATAATATAATATCTCTATTGTGTGAAAATATTAACACAATATTTTTAATTAATTATTATAGTAAAGATAATTAATATATTATTTACATATACAAATACTTTATTATAAATACTACCAATTTACTTAAAAATAATAACATTGATTTAACTGTGAAGTGCTCTCTCTCTTTCTCTGTTTCTATCTTTCTCTCTCTCTTTCTCTATTAAACTAATATTCAGTTTGTGTACTTAGAAAACAAAAATATTGTCGAGCTAAGGGAAAACTCTTAATGATCGTTAACGTACCAACGATTGTATACGAGGAATTTACAAGAGGGAGGAGATGGCGTGACAAGGGAAAATAAATTTAAAAGATAAGCAATGCGAATGAGAGAGTAAAAGAAGGAGAGAAAGAGAGACAGAGAGAGAGAGAGAGAGAGAAAGATTGATAGAATAAGAAAAAGAAAGTTTAAATCTACTGTGTCTGATGGAAGTACGACTTTCTTTTCATTGCAGTAAGATGTTCCTTTAGGTATCTTTTTCTCTCACTCTCTCTCTTTCTCTCTCTTTCTTTCTCTCTCTTTTTCTCTTTTCTTACTCTTTCTAGCTTTTCATCGTGTTGCCAACTCTGCTTTACCTTTTTAGTTTCTGCTCCTCTCAACATTGTTTGCTCCGAGACGAAATACAAACGCTTTAAGAGTATGAGAATCCATTCCTTCTTTTTTCTTTTCCTTTTTTTTTTCTCCCTCTCTCCCTCTCTCTCTCTCTTTTTCTTTCTTTCTTTCATTCTTTCTCTCTTTCTATTTTTCTGTCTCCTACGCGATTCTATTTACGCACATATGTATCATTTCATTTCAAAAGGATCAAAGTGAAATTCTAACGTCTCGAAGCTCTTTTCTCTCTCGTTTCTTTTTTTTTCTTTTTGTTTCTTTTTTATTATCTTGACGTTTTTAGTTATCCTAAGAAAGAGAGAGAAAGAAAGAAAAAAAAAGAAAAAAAAGTGGTAGTTCTCAAGCTTTCAACATATGTACGTCACGACATATTACAATTTGCAATTTAATTTTTATTAATTTTTTCTTTCAAGTTTATAGCGCATATATAGAGCATTGTAAAATAATTAATTTCATTGGGTTTGCCATTTTAAAAATGGTTTATTGATAAGAAGTATTTACACAAAATAAAGTTTCTTATTTCGAATAGTCATTTTGTTCAAACTCCTAGTTTTTTTTTATACGAATTCAACAAGGATAGGATCATTTACGAGAGGCTCAGATTTTTTTTTCAAACTCGTATGCAATGTACATATTGTACTTTTTTAAACAATCTAAATCTCCAAAGTTTTACAAAAAAACGAGGAGTTAAAAATTTGTTATATTCATTTATTTCTTTTTCTTCGGTAGAGTAATGGGTAGCAGCATGGTTTCGTATCCCTGATCTTGCCCAATTGAATGCCTGACTAGGGGTCCCAGTCATTCTATACAATCCCCAGTTAGGGGTCTCAGTCATTCTGTACAGTCCCCAGTTAAGGGTCCTAGTCATTCTGTACAAAGAACAATGCACGTTCTCATGGATTACTACAAGTGTACAAAGTTTTAAAAACAATCTAAACCTCTCGTAAATAGTCCTATTAAAGAAAGAAAGAGAGAGAGAGAGAGAGAGAGAGAGAGAGAAAGAGGAACAGGGGGAATGTTGAAATATATTTAAATAACATATGGGTTGGACCAGCAACAAAAAATCGTTTATCGTTCATAAAGAGATGTAATATTTAACTCGTGACCCTTTCGTATGGTACTATATGGACCAATGGGAAGTGATCCCTTGACCTCGAAGAAAGGAAAAAGGCGAAGGAAGGAAAATGAGAGAGAGAGGAAAATTCTTGACTCCTCGTTTTGTATTTTACAACCAATTGAGATCCTATTTAAATATCAACGAAATCGAAAGTTTCTTTACGAAGCTTCGAGAGGAATAAAAAACGAGAAAAAGGAAAAGGAAAAAGGGAAGAAAAAGAGAGATAGGAAAAGGAATAGAGAAAGAGAGAGAGAGAAATACGATATAAAGGGGTTTATAAAAGGAGCTCGAATAAACTCGAGGTGTTCAACAAAGAGATATATCGAGTTTGAAGAAGGACTTCCCCTTTCAATGGATCTTCCTCTTTTCCTAGTAGTACCTCCTACTACTACTTGGAAACATGAAAAAAGAAAACTCTGGATCACGCGATACAGTTTACTATCTGAATATGTTAACGTGTCATTTCTAAGCACACCTTTAACATATATACCCCATTCTATCTTTCACTAAATCCTCGTCCAATCCTCCACCCCCTCTATCACCATCCTTTTCAGAAAAATATAATATATAAAAAGAGTGATAGAAAAAGTAAGATCGTAAGATCGTATGATGTGTATGCATTAAAGAGAGAGAGAGAGAGAGAGAGAGACCAAATTAGAATTATGTAAAAGTATATGTGTGTCAGATAGAGAGAGAGAGAGAGAGAGAGAGAGAGAGAGAGAGAGAGAAAAGTAGAATAAAATTTCAATTGTGTGTATGTGTGTATGTGTGAAAGAGAAAAAAATTTGGAATCGTTTTCATGGTGTGAAGAAAGAAAGAGAATAAAAATTGAACTTTGTATAATATTAGAAAAAGAGAGGAAGAGAAGAGGAAAATTTGAACTTTGTATGATATTAGAAAGTATATGTGTGTGAGGGGGAAAAAAAGAGAGAGAAAGTAGAAGTTCCGTAGGACGTTCAGTGCAGATATCTATGTGAAATGCAGAGCAAGAGGTCTGAGAAATATCTAAGAAATGCGGAGTACCTTTTGAGTGTCCACTTCGTAAAGCATCGGAGTATGCTTCTTTCTTTCTTTTTCTTTTTCTTTTTTTTCTGTCTATTTCTCTCTCTTTTTCTATTCCTTTCTCTTTCTTTTTTTTCCTCGCGGCGACTCGTTTTCAGCACCGCGAGTGTCTTTCTCAAACTCTGGAGCTTCTTCTCTCAAGGAGGTACATTTTCTTCTTCTTCTTTTTCTTTTTCTTTTGAGTCTGTGAGTCTATAATACTACTCGGTGGTGGTAGTTTTGCCAGTGTATGCCGACACCCGAGAATAAAAGAATAATCGCCGCTTCAAAAGGGCTTTTTAAAAAATCCGCAAAGCAGCAGCAGTAGCAGCAGCAGTGGCAAAATATTTGGCAAGATTTCGAAGTAGATAACTTTTAGGGTGATTTTAGATAATCTGTATTAACTTCAAATCAATTTTTCATTCGTATTTGTATTTTATTGTATTTTTTGTTTTTGTTTTATTTTATGCACACTAGTGCATTCGTGTTTGTGTATGTGTGTGTGTGTTTGTAGAAAATAATGAGGAATTTATTCAACATTTATTCTGTACGATAGAATAATGCTAATTATTCGGATATGCGCATTTTTCCAATAAATTCTTTTCATCAATATGTTTAAACAAAATAGTATATACAATTTAAATAATATCTAATTTATTGTTTTATAAATCAAATGATAGAGTAAATCGTTCGATTTTACATTTACGTTGGGTTCTATGCATATATTTTTTTGTGTATTTGTTTAGAAACATTGTGAGAATTGCATTCTATTTGATAAAATAATTCAAACCCATGAGAATGCATAGAGAAATATTTTATCGTAAATTTATTTAAAATTCACCAAAAAAATAATATAAGAAATTATCTGAAGAATTAGTATCCAAATTAAATTCAAAAAGATTTTATATTAAGAAATTAAACGTAGATAGTATACATTAAAGAGATTTAATGTAAACCACTAGATTGCAAAGCTCGAAAACTTTATTATTCTCACAATTTAACACAGTTACGCATATATATTATATATACGTATATATATAGAAGCATAACGTAATTCTTTGTAGTATATCGAGGAAATGGTCCAGAATGGGCGTCAAGATTTCGCATGTCCATTGCTATGCTCTTGCCTGTGGCATGGTCTACGAGCACGCCATCACGATTTCCGGCACAATGCGCTATTCTACCGTGATAGATATATGACTGTAATCCTGCACATTCTCCTGTCTGCTGGCACCCAGAAGCGAGTATATTAACTCAGAGGCTCGTTCGCTCAACGCACGTTTTCGCGTCTTCTACGACAATCCTCTCTCTCTCTCTCTCTCTTTCTCTCTGTGCTAATTTCTCGTCCTCTCTGCATTATTAGTTGTGTAAATACACATGGTACACTGGAAATGTACTTGTGCAGTACT